CTGTCATCACCTTGGGTGGCTCCTCTGCAGGGCTCCCATCTGTGACCTGTGTCCCCACCCAGCAGTAAGCAGAGCAAGAACAAGCCACAGGTGCAGTGTGAGTCACAGGGGCAGCTGGTACCAAAGCACAGACCAAGGCCAGGCAGTGCCTCTCTGTTGAAGGTTAAGTAAGGGAAGATGCTTAATGCAGTGTCCACTCACAGCCACCCAAAAGGTACACAAACCTCCCAGCTGCCACAAACCCTCTGTCAAAACAAACAGGATGTCAGTGTGTGCAAGGAGCTCTTCACAGCAGCCAAGGAGACGTGAAAGAACCTTGAGGGAAAGGCTGGAGGACACGAAACACAACAGCAAGACCCCAAACCAAAGAGAAAGGCAACACAACTGGTCAACCACAAATAAATCGTACATGAGGGTCACAGCACGGGGACTGCACTGTCAGAGGAAGTTTGCTTTGCTCCCTCAGACATTACTCTGTGACCTGCATTCACCACACACACACAGGCTTGAGGCTACCAAGGAAACTGGGGTGGAAAAAAAAAGCACTTTACTCCCTAAGCACTCTGCTGAAAGGGAGGAGATGAGATGGATGCCTCAATCCAGGTCCTGATCTCAAGCTCCTGAGGCAAAAGGAATCCTGAGTCGCTGGTTCAGGCTCCTCACAGGCTGCCCTAGCATAACCTCTGGAACTAAACCCTGCAAAATTTCTTAGTGATGAAATAACAATCTCACCCAAAGCTCCTGACTGAGGTGCTGCTTCAATTTCTGGGTTTGCTCCAATGAAAACAAATTATTGGGACAGTAAATATCCCCCGTGGTGTCTGCAATCAAACACTGCAGAGCTGTGCTAAGGCTCTAGAAACAGAAAGTGGAGCAGCACTGACAGAAACAACAAACAAAGCCGAGGGGAAGCATGTGAGAGCCTGTGCTGCACAAGCCATTTAGGCTTCTTTTCTGAACTCATTTTCTTGGCTGCACTGAGCTCCTCTCGTCCCAACTAAGAACAATGCCAAAAGCAAGCCAGGACTATAAATGGTCAAGAGTAAAAATGAGCATTTTGAAGTGGTTTGCATCTCTGCCAAGTTATCTGTGGCACACACACAGCTATTTGTTGCACTGCCTTAATACTCCCTCCCCAAGCAGGCCCTGATGATTCTGAAACCAATGTCAAGTTCTCATTGATTTCAAGGAGAAGCTCATCCTGGATTTTTTGAACACATCTGCATGTATATTTGTTTTTCCTCACTGGTGTCCTGGTAGCCTTTCAGGAGCTGTTTAATTGTGCAAATAAAACAGGACACATGAACACTCATCAGTGCCAGTCTGTAAACAAAGACACAAATCTCCTACAATAAGGATTTCTGTACCTCTTCAGTTTAACTGGAACAGGTCAGAAGTGCCCTTTGTGGAAGGGAGAGAAGCAGCTGGATGGTTTTCTTCCTGTGGGAGAACACAGTCCTTCCCAGCCCAGCAGCACTCAGCTGGGTCTGAAAGGCTCCAGGTGTGTGGGGCAGCAGATGAGCAGCCACAGCAGGACAGGCCTGAGACCCCTGTGACACAGTGCAGAGGGCACAAGAGGTTTCTTCATGCCAAAGAGCTGTTCAGAATCTTTCTCTTTGAGTGCACCACAGTGCTGTGATTCAGCCCAAGTGGTAATGATGCAATTGCTGCTGCTCAGAGAGGAGAAACAGTCACAGCTCAAAGCCAACCCCTGCAGCTCTGCCTTCTCAGCCTCTCCTGGTGCCAATCAGGGCCTATTCAAGTCCTACCAGACTCTCCACGCGGATCAGGCTTGTCAGCAGAACCTAGAATGGTGCCTCTTTTTGTTTGGTGTTTGTTTCCAAGGGAATGGGAGGGGAGGAATTGTTGCAATCCCTCTAAGCCCTCTTGCTTCAGCTGCACCACACAGCTGCTGAGTGGTTAAGCAAGACAGGCTGCAATAGCATTGCAGCAGTGGAGCCAGAACTGTATCATTATCCCCTCTCCAGTCACTGTCCAATTGTTTGCATCATGGAACTTTTAACTCACAGTGCAGCTTGCGGATAAAGGAGGCTCTAAAAATACAGCCCAAAGTGCTAAACAACAGGGCTTTTGATGTTCAGACCAGGTAATTGAACTTTTCAGCAGTTTCACTACGAAGTGCTCTGCTTTGGAACAAAGCACACGTATTCTGGAGCGTGTTCCAGCGCAGGGAACTCGCTGTGCACACACCCTGCTGGGGACAGCTGAGCTGCACACACCTTGGGCATGACAGCAAACTGCCAACACACACACAGCACCTGGACTCTGGGACCTGGACTGTGGCACCTTCCCGAGTCCACCCTGTCACACTCAGACCTTCCTCACAACATGTAAGCTGATACCTGCCCAAAATAAACCACAACTCCAGCCCAAAGCAGACCCACCACAGGTGTTTCTTTGTACTGCTCAATTGGCTTCACAGGCTCTAACACTGTGAGCAGAGCCCTGACCCTCATTTCTGTGCTCAGCTGCTTGATGTTTGCCCTCACTTAAATAACTTAAATCACCTGCACTTACTCACTCAAATTAAACAGGGAAGCAGGTCACACAGGGTGTGAGGCTGACAACACCTTCCTGGGCTGTTGGCTGAACAACTCTTTGTGTTTGGGGTTTTTTTGCCTTTCTCCAGTTTTACCAGACACTGACCATTCACAAAACACACATGACCATTCACAGTTTCACAGTATGTTCTGAGGTTGGAATGGACCTTAGAGATCACAACCCCCTGCCCTGGGCAGGGACACCTCCCACCAGAGCAGGTTGCTCAAGGCTTTAGTCAACCTGGAATGAACACTGCCAGGGTTGGGGCAGCCACAGCCTCCCTGGGCAACCTGTGCCAGTGTCTCACCACCCTCACAGGGAAAAATTCTGCCCAATATCTAATTTAAATTTCCCTCTTTCAATGTATCCCCATTACTCCTTGTCCTGTCACTACAGTTTCTAACGAAGAGTCCCTCTGCAGCTTCCCTGGAGTCCTTCATGTACTGAGAGGCTGCTCTGAGGTCTCCACACAACATTCTCTTCTCCAGGCTGAACAGCCCCAACTCTCTCAGCCTGTCCTCATAGTGAAGGTGTTCCAGCCCTCTTATCTGCTTTGTGGCCTCCTCTGGACTTGCTCCAACAGTTCTATGTCCTTCCTTCTAATGTCAGAGACACCAGAACTGTGTGCAGTACAGTTCATGAAACACACAGGGCCAACACCTTCCAGTGTCAAAACCATCACACCACACCTTCCAGTCCTTCTGGAAGGTAAGCTACACATAAAACACCTGTGAAGTGATTCCCCCCACCAGAGACTGCTCTTACTTTGCAGCCATACTGCAGGGCGAGCTTGTTCAGGTTATCATCCTCCGTGAGCTCCCGCTCCAGCAGCACCACCTCTCCCAGCCTGTCCCGGGCAGTGCTGCCTCGCTGCTGCTCCCTGCCCCGCGGCCGCAGTTCCATCACGTTGAGCTCCTCCTCCTCCGACTCCTCGGAGTCGGATCGGCCATTGGGGAATACATAGACCTGCCTGCCTGGGTAGCTGTGAACGGTGACAGGAGCCTGGAAGGATCTGGTCCGGCCCTCATTCAGCCTCATCTTTTCCACCTGGAACGAGAAACAGACAGTTTGGCTCTCCTCAGTGCCCGTGCTCAGCTCTTAGCACATAACAGTCAGAGAATGGACAAGAGGTTGGCACATGTGCACACACACAAAGCAAATCACACACAGAGGCAACTCCAAAAGAGTCATTCTAGCAGCCACGACAGAAAAGTTGTCTACACTAACTCCCATGGGTACATTGTTTTCCACACCTTTTCCTCTGCCTGCCTGCAGACAAACCACCACAACACACCACTTTGCCACACATCTTAAATATAATTCTCCATAAGTTCATTAACAAAGCAGCAGAGTCACCTGAGGAAAGTGTCTTTAATGATGGCCAAAAAATCCATGGAATCCCATCAGATCTACCAACAGACATTAAAACTGACCACAATTATCCCTTAAATCACTTTTCCTTAGCTCTCTACACTTGCAGAATCCATTTTAGTTTCCTGGAAGCTCACATTTTATTTTTTTTTCATTTCAACAAGCACAACTCAAGCTACCTTTAACTTCACCCCGAACGACAACATCATTTTGCTGCACGAAGAACCTGCCTAAGCACTTTAATTACAGCTCTGACTACAGCTCCAAGTTAGTAGGAAGCTCCTTTCATTCTTTATATTATCCAATACTTAGCTCCACAAACAACTTGTCGTCAGGGTCGGGAATAGCTAAAAAAACTCCACATTCCCAGGGAACAACATTGACCTTATTCTCCGCGTGCCCCTAAGGGATTCCCCAGACGGAACCACGAGCACCGAGCGGCACTTCACCAGCTCAGGGCGGGACACGGGACAGCTCTGCCCCTGCCAACACACCGCGCTCACTGCTTCTGCCCACCCCGCGCTCACTGCTTCTGCCCGGGAAAGGCAAAGCTCCTCCACGAGCCCCCCGATCCCCTCAGCGCCTCGGGGGTCTCGTTCCCCTCAGTCCCGACTGCCCGCGGGGCCCAGAGCGCTCTGATCCCCGCAGGGATCAGGGTGCCCGATCCCCTCAGCGCCTCTGGGAGTCCCGATCGCCCTAGCACCTCAAGGGGCTCCGAGCCCTCAGCGCCCCGGGGGTTCCGCTC